TATTTTTATAGCACTTTAACAATGTAGATTGTGTCAAAGCAGGTGAAGCAGTGGCGCAGTAGGTAGTGCTGTCGCCTCACAGCAAGAAGGTTGCTGGGTCGCTGGTTCGAGCATCAGCTCAGTTGGCGTTTCTGTGTGGAGTTTGCGTGGTTTCCCTGCATTCGCGTGGGTTTCCTCTAGGTGCTCCGGTTTCCCCCACAGTCCAAAGAAATGCGGTACAGTTGAATTGGGTAGGCTAAATTGTCCTTAGCGTGTGTGTGTGTGTGTGTGTGTGTGAATGTGCGTATGGATGTTTCGCAGAGATGGGTTGTGGCTGGAAGGGCATCCGCTGTGTAAAAACTTGCTGGATAAGTTGGCGGTTGATTCCGCTGTGGCGACCCCGGATTAATAAAGGGACTAAGTCGACAAGAAAATGAATAAATGAATTGTGTCAAAGCAACTTCACATAGAATATAATAGTGAATTGAAACAGTTTAGTTCAGTTCTGAGAGTTTAACTAAGAAATTAACAATGTTAAGATAATGTGAAGATTTTTTAAAAACACTCTATAAAGTTAATCAATCACTGTATTTTGTGGCCATGATATAATTATGTGCATGTTCATTATCACAATATATTGAATTATTGAACATACACTCACCGGCCACTTTATTAGGTACCCCTTACTAGTACCAGGTTGGACCCCCTTTTGCCTTCAAAACTGCTTTAATCCTTCGTGGCATATTCCTCAGAGATTTTGGTCCATATTGACATGATAGCATCACGCAGTTGCTGCAGATTTGTTAGCTGCACATCCATGATGTGAATCTCCCGTTCCACCACATCCCAGATGTGCTGTACTGGGTTGAGATCTGGTGACTGTGGAGGCCATTTGAGTACAGTGAACTCATCGTCATGTTCAAGAAACCAGTCTGAGGTGATTCACGCTTTATGACATGGAGCGTTATCCTGCTGAAAGTAGGCATCAGAAGATGGGTACACTTAGGTTATAAAGGGATGGACATGATCAACAACAACATTCAGGTTGTGGCATTGACACGATGTTCAATTCGTACTAATGGGCCCAAAGTGTGCCAAGAAGATTTCTCATCATTACACTACCGCCATTAGCCTGAACCGTTGATACAAGGCAGGATGTATCCATGCTTTTCTTCCCCATTTTGATGCTTAGTTTGAACTGCAGCAGATCATCTTTCTACATGTCTAAATGCATTGAGTAGATGCAATGTGATTGGCTGATTAAAAATTTGCATTAATGAGCAGTTAGACAGGTGTACCTAATAAAGTGGCGGGTGAGTGTATATGGCATATGTCTACAAACAGCCAAAGTGACAATTCTAAAAATTCATTATTTACTAATTCTCATGTCATTTCAAAACAGTTTCAGTCCTCTGCAGGAAAAAAAAAAAAAACATATTCTTTACTTTTTAAATTACCATTGGCTTTCATTTTACGGACAACTACATTTTAATATGTTTAATCAACTATCACTTACTGTACATGTTTTATATTTTAGTGGGCAAGATGTTAAAATCTAAATGTGTTTCACTGGATACTGAAGCATAACACTGAGGTATTGTGCTAACGTCACTCTAATTCTTGACGTTTGTTGACATAAAAAGGAATTCCCATTAATTTTCTTTTTCAGAGCTTGAAGGTTTGTTTGACTTGTGAAAATTGTTGCTTTACGATGTCAACCATCAGATAAGGGACATTCAAACTTTGTGGCAAGGGTTCAAGTGATCTTTGAAACAAAGTTTCTGCTTTGATGATAGTTTTATCTTCACTTCTTTGTAGTATTTTTTTCTTGGACCTTAGAAACATCAACAAATAGAAATTGGTCAACTACTTTATAGTGTCTTTAGAGGGAGTGAACAGGAACCCCGGCCTAGGTATACACCAATGTAAACTACTGAAACGTAGATGATCTGCTTTGAGGGAGGTTGATTAATTATTTTTCTGTCTATTTTATTTTCTAGCAGCAGGAAATTATTGGACACACATCATGATAGTTTTGTAAATAAATGAATCCTGTAGATACTAACAAAAAAAAGTATGCAAGAGAGATTCACTTTGAGATAAGCATTAAAAATTAAGAAGATGATTTTATTAGAATTCATTTCAATCAGTGGACAAAAATGACAACAAATTTAGAAATATAATCTACAAAATAAGTTTAAGTGAAATATAAAAATCCAAAATAAAATGAGAATAGTCACACAGCCAAAATCCAGAGCAATGTGATGCCCTCCTTTTCCAAAAAAAAAAAAAGGCAACAAAATAAATCAAAATAATATTTACAATAAAATGTCATGATAGTATTTACATTAAGGCATTTCAATTACACAAAACTTGTCAAATTCCACTTCACAAAGCCAATGCAATAAATACATCGATTTTACAAGAAAGAACCAGGTAATATTTTAACCCTCTTTTAACTTATGAAAGGCAGCCGAATTGCAGTGACGGTAACCTTAACCGTACTTTTTATTGTCTGTTTTTTATGATCAAAAGGTTTCAGTGTGTGCTGCTGATAAAAACAAACACGAAAAGGCACTTTTAGATGAAATGTGTTCCAAAGGCATTACTTCAAAAGAACAGTCACCGTGGTCTCGTACATTCATATGAGCTTATGCATCAACGACAGTAGGAAAACGAATGTTCGGCATGCTTCTGTGTATAAAGGAGACTGTACAAATCACACAGCGGTCTAAAGCCCTTTTCCACTCCTCATTGCTTTTTCTATACCATTGTTTAATAATTCATCGAATAATTGCTGTTCAGTAGCAGCACATTATCATCCAAAGCTATAAACACTTCAGAAACTAAAAAGAGGGAATAGCAGTAGAGGCTGTGTACTTGAAACCCCAGTATGAGCAGTAACTATTCCAGTGATATATATTAAAAGTATCTATCATACATAGATATTTAGCTTTTCCAGTCTAATTCAAGTGCAAAGTAAAATAGGAGTTGTGTCTTACGCTGGGTTCAGATTATACAATATTTTTGTCTGGTTTGATAGTCACTTTTTCAGATGTGTTGAGTTGTGGACAAAATAAACTCCAACATGTCAGTTTAACACCCCTGGCTCTACTTGCCCTGCTTTGAGCAAAATTTAAACCATCATGAGACCCATGGGAGGTGAGAACTATAATAAGAACACTCACCCCCCATACCCCACTATCATCCGGGTCACGGCACCAATTTTCAATATTCAGCATTCAAACAGGCATTTTTGAAATGGGAGACAGGCACATTAACAAGGATGTTTAAGACTGCAGCTGTTAGCATCAGTTGCCAGTGTGCCTCTTAAAAAGGGAATACTCGCACAGTTTCTACTAGCCATCACACTCATCCCCATAAACCTCACTTCCAGCTGGGTCACAACACCCTGGGTCACACAATCTTGTTCTAGATTCAGCACACTCTGTGCACTATTTGAATTACAGGTCTTAATCTTTGGCGCACTAAGAAGCGATTAAACTATGGAGAGAGTAACATGTATCCTCAGCTCCTAGCCATTAAAAAAACAATGCAGTGTTAATGGGGGAGATTACAAGACTCTGACTTAAAAGGGTTATAAAGCCTGATAAATGGTTAAACGCACATGGGTCACAGCACCAATATAACCCCTCTGGTTTTACTCACTGCAGTCTGGGCAAGATTGTCAAACAGACATTTTTTAGGATGTGATGTGAACACGCTAACAGAGATGTTAAACGGATGTATCAGTTGCTAGTACACCTCTTGAGAAAGTAGTGAGCTTTGTACTTTGTACTTACATTTTTGTAAGTCATTAAGATCATTTAGCAGACCTACAGTTGTACAACTTAATTTGGTTCTTCTCACTCAGGTTTGAGCGAGATGGGAACCAGCATGGCATACTGTAGGTGGTAAACACACTAACAAGAATAAAAGCCTACTAGAGGGGTTGCATTGGTGCCGTGACCCGGATGAGTTTAACATTTTATCAGGCTTAACCTCAAATACTTGCCTTACCCAGCAGGCACAGGACGTAAACATGATCAGACTGACGTTGTACCCCAATACATTTTAATTGAAAATTGGGTTGATGTCAGAAGCCAACGAAAGGCTGACGTCAATGTCCAAAATGGGACAGACGTTGCATTTTGGTTACTTTCCAACGCAACGTAAAAAAAAAAAAAAAAAAAAATATATATATATATATATATATATATATATATATATATATATATATATATATATATATATATATATATATCAAGGTTTGATGATATTACAGCTTGATGATGTGTGGACGTTACCACAATAATTTCTATCAGACGGTGGATTTTGGTTGCCATACCTGATGAATAAATGTCAGTATTTGACGTCAATATGACGTTGGTTTACGATGTTGGCTCGACGTTGGGTTTTGGTCACTTTCCAACACAAATCAAAATCAACAAAATATCAACGTCATTTTACGTAATTATTGAACGTGAAAATAACATTGATGACCTAAATCTAACCTAATATTATTGTCCTATGATATTGTGTGTCTGCTGGGTTAAAGGGACTTTGGTAAAGATATATTCTTCATATGCATCTTTCAAATCTACATGAAAGGCTGTATATAGAGGACATATCCATACCAAAGTTCCTTTAAGGCCAGTATTTGTACTCAGTGGCCATTTTTGAAATGCCTCTCGGGGATACAATCTCTTTGAATGGGGAAACATCTGACTATAGAAAACGGTTTGCCAAGATAATGACTAAATTTCATATTTGGAATCACCCATTAAACTGAACACCAAATAACTTGGTTGTTAATCATGATGATTCTCTAAATTATGTGGCATTCGATCATGCTCGCCTTCTGAAGTAATTACCATCTTATTCCTGATGGTGAATTTGACATATACACTGATGTTTTCCTCCCAAAATAACAGCAACCTGTTTAATTACAAGTTTGTGGGCTTTCAATGGTTGCTGCCATGTGATTTGCATTTGAATGGCGGAGGCAAGAATTCATAAGGTTAGATCAGACGGACTGTACTTCACATTCGTTCAGATAACAAAACCAGGAAACATTTGTTTTCAATTGTAGTTGCTTCAATTAAAATATTTCAAGCTTTATGTAGATCTATTTATCATGATTGCGAGGCAAGTATTTGATGAGATTTGTAAAAACATGGAGCTCCCCCGCCCCTGGAGAATTGTCAGTCTACAATAATCGATTATTGGCTCCTTTACTAGAAGGCAGGACTTCCTGCACTGCAGTGGCCAAATTGACTGTTACCTTTTTCCCCATTCAAAACTATAGAAGTGACACTTCTTGCGTGTTCTATGGTCTTTATCCTTACCCAATTTGTCAAACCCAAAAACGCTAGTCTTTCCGAAGTGTTCCAGATACTGTCAATTGTTTTACACTATTAATTTTTGCCTTGGGACATCCATTTTTGTTAACAAATCACCACAACTTTAACCAGACCATGCCAACATCAGGCTGATATTGTGTAGTCTGAACCCAGCATTAGTGCTTTGCAGATGTACAAGAAAAATTCCTGTGTTAGTTCCATTTCTTGTTCCAATCAGAGGACGAAAGCCTCAAACACAAGACAGCTTATTTGTCTTATTAATCGAGAAAGCCAAAATGAGATGAGGGTCTTAACGGAAAGTTCATGTATAGAGAGAGAAAAAGGGACATTACGATATCCAAAGGAAAGAAACTGGATTTCATAGTAATATCAAAAGTTTGTCTGTTTATAGTAGACACTCTCGACAGGTCAGAGAGAGATTACCCTAAACGTTATAAGGTTCGTCGTGGTGTAGAGAAAGAAAGAAGTCGATCACTTCAAGTGCATAATAATAAGTATGTGTGTCTGTTGGAGTTAGTGTATCTAATTCTGATGCCTCTTCATATGCAGGGCGAGATGATCGGAGCGAGAGAAGCTGCGGCTGCACACGGCGCACTGGAAGGGTTTGGCTCCGGTGTGTTTCCTGAAATGACGTGTCAACTCATCGGATCGAGCGAACCGCCAGTCGCAGCCTTCCCACGTGCAGCGATACGGCTTCTCACCTGAACACAAAGCACAATGGACACTGGGTTTAGTCATGAATAAAACACACACAAAAAACATGCAGAGAGAAAGAACTGGTTTCTTTTCACTGATATATTAGTAATGCTAAATGAATAATCTGTGTGGGCAGCATTTCTCTTTCTGTCATGGTGGTGGTAACCATAACAAACATATGCCGTGAGGTGTGGAGCGAGATCATAAACTTCACTTTACTCTATCTCTCAGATTAAAGTATTTCAGTATTTTGGTGAAGGCCGACAAGACTGAACTCATAGTCAGCCATAAATAGCAGCGCAATGTTTGCATTTCTAAAACTCAGCTTTAGCATGTTTTTTAAATGACGACAGGGTTATTTCTTTCTCCTGAAATCAAGTCAGCTCCCTAATCCCTATATGGAAAATCAGATGAGATCAACATGAAAAAAAATTTAAAAAATTAAAAATCACAATATTGCTCACAGGTAAAATATAAAGTTTGAAATTCAGATTGTTGAAAAATAAAATTTAAATGCAAAAAAGAAAAAAAAAGTTTATAGTAATTTTTTAATAATTGAATTTTTATTATTTTAGTAAAAGTATGAATTCCTTTTTTAGTTTATGTTCCTGTTTTTAATATATATATATATATATATATATATATATATATATATATATATATATATATATATATATATATATATATATATAAAGATTTATTTATTTATTTTTATTTTAGTTGTAGTTAGTCTAGTTTTAAGCTAAATTAAATTGCAAAAATTGCAAATAATTTATTATTAGCTGGCTAAAATATGATAATACAATATAATATAATATAAAATAATATAATATAATATAATATAAAATAATATAATATAATATAATATAATATAATATAATATAATATAATATAATATAATATAATATAATATAATATAATATAATATAATATAATATAATATTCAACTCACAATAAAAACCGTAAAACAGTTTTAAAGACTTTATTTTGTATTCTTCTAGGGGATCATTTCCTCAAAAATGCTCAAGTGCTTACAATTATGATTTTATGTGTGTGATCTTTATTCTATGAAACACAAAGATGATATTTTAAAGAATGAACTATTTTTATCCATACAATGAACTTCAATTGAATACAAAACAACTTTGTATTGTCTTTAATTCAATAAGCAACATCAACAACATGTTTTACTTGTTACACAAATATGATTATACACATTTAAAATGAATTTCTATTTTTGAGTGAACTTTTCTTTTAACACAATGATAATGTGCATTGTAAATGTTAAGTGCTTCAAGTAATTAAATCATTATATGATAACTCAAAATACCTGTACAAATGATAACAAACAGCAAACAAATCGCTATCATTCAACTTAGCTACTCTTTAAAAATATCTGGTAATTAACATAAGGTTTCTGTATTTTGTGATTCACAAGATTTTATATAATGTTTATAAATTGCAGTATGGGGCCTTGATCTCTGCTCTGTCAACTTTTGATGTTGAAAAGGTTACTACAGTTTAACAAAATGACTTTTATTGACATTGTAGTAGTTTAAAATTATATAATGCATAGGAAAAAATATAGAGAGAAATAAGTCAATAATATTCAGCCAACCCAGAAAATATATCACTTAAACTATACGAAATGTTAATAAAAGCCACTTTAAAAAAAAAAAAAAACTTTCAGGGTTAAAAGTTGTTGTTAGAAAGATCAAGGTCCCAAAATGCATAAATAAAGGGTCAAAATAAAAACATGAATCACTAAATACAGAAAACTGCTAATTTACTGATATATTATACAGTGTGCTAGCATTTAAGTAATAGACTATATACTACTATTATATTCTAAGAGCGATACTGCTATTTCAGTGGTGCAAGTCTCATACAGTAGGTGTGGTGCTTAAAAACAATTAACTAACTAAATGTCAGGACTTGAGCTGTAACGTCTGAGAGGAAAAGCCCTGAACAAAAATCCTGTAATGACTTGTTCACTTTAAACTGTTCTGCCCGAGGCTCTTCTGCTCCTCAACAGACTGGCTGGACTGGGTTTATCTGGACAACATGTTGGGTCATTTTTTATTAATCAGACTTGTTCAAACTAGTAGAATAGTGGAAGATGGCAATTTTAAAAACACAGTGTGATGTTGTTAATAACAATTATATTAAATGTTTATAAAACAACTCAATCGACACTATAATCTACAAATATTTTGAAAATAAATGCATACTTTTATTAGGCATTTAACTGATAAAATGGGACATTTATAATTTGACAACTAAATAAATTATGTTCTTTTAAAAGATAATAATCAGATATTTCAGAAAAATATTTAGACAGGAAATAAATACAAAAAATATTTAATATTATTTATACTACTAATTACTAAGAAATGTTTCTTGATCAGCAAATCTTTAGTATAGTAAGATATACATTATGTGACACTAAAGACATGAGTAATAATGCTAAAATGTATACTTTGCCATCACATGATTAACATGCATTTTGTAATATTTTAAATGGTTATTTTATATTGCAATATTTCACAATATTACCATTTGTACTATTTTTTATATTCCAATCTCAACTTTACAGCAATGTAATTGTGAAAAAACAAAGCAAAACATAAATAAATAAAATAAAATAACATACACCAAATACAATAAAATAAAAAACAAAACAAAATAAATGTAAAAAATTAAACAAAATAAAAAACAAAACATAAATAATTAAACAAAATAAAAAACAATAAATAAAACAAAGCAATTAAATAAACAAAACAAAACAAAATAAAACAAAAAATAAACTAAATTAAATATAAAACAAAACAAAACATAAACTAAATAAATTAAACAAAATAAAATAAAATGAAGAACAAAACATAAATAAATAAAAAATAAAAATAAAAAAATAAATCAAAACAGCCAGTGAGAGTTGAATTAACAATAATCGTTAGCCATTTTTTGGCTTCAATTCCACCTCATTTTGTAAAAGACATGCATGTTTTAAATTATTTAGTATCTTAAACTATTTAATATGTTATATTTTATATAGTCCAACAACAATAATCCTAAACTACAGTTAACAGATTTATGTTATGTCCTTATAAGATATATTAAAGTATGTTGCAATATTTTAGTGAACTCAATATAGTTTTAGATATTTTGTGTGCATTTGTTGTAAGAAATATTGTGTGCAATTTGTGAGTAAAAACTTTTGCCATGTCTACTAAATGTCATTATGAATTTTAAAGTGGCACCTGTGCACTCTTAACTGTAAATCTCTCTTTGACGTGTTGTTGACTCAAATACAGCAACAAATAAATCATAACATGTCAAGTCAAGAGAAAAGAGTGGGTGTTTTTATCTTATCAAATGAGCCAGTAATTAGGGCACCAAACATAAATGCATACCTGGAAAAATCTAAAATATTGATGACCTGATAAGTACAATCATTTATCAGTTTATTAGGTTGACATACCAAAGGCCGCCTTGTGGAATGTATGAATATTTCCTCGTCAGGGTCAAATAAGGTTTGTTTACTTCTATACAGATACTAAGATGGTATCAACAAATACATTTAGAGGCAACACTGAACAATGTTGTTCTTCTGACAAATATTAAAGTGTATTTTTTGAGAGACAGCGCAACACTGAGCAATGTTTTTTCTACTGATATTTTCAAATGTTGCCTAAAGGTCATAGAAATGTTGGACTGTATAGTTGGATGTGGAAAAAATGAAGCTGAATAGGCTGTTCCTGCATGATGTATTTGGTCATGGTTTTGCTGCAATCTCATATTAGGAAGCGACGCAGGATAGCTTTCAGGCGGCGTGCAAGAATGAACGCATGTGCATGCCAACAACGTACTTCTGCCCGGCAACATGACAGTAACGGGCAAAAATAGGAGGCCAGCTTTATCCAGCATAAATAAAACCATTTTTAATTGCGGAACTCTTACCAGTGTGTGTCCTCAAGTGAGCTTTCAGGTGGGACGACTTGGTGTAAACTTTCTTGCAACCTAAAAGATATAATAATAATAAAAGTTATAGTTGTTACCTGAATCAATTGATGAGTATTTATAAATCATTCATAATACAAACTGATAGTAAAAATGGACTAAAAGTTAAATAAACAATATGACAAAAGAGTGTTTAAATCTTTTTAATAAATGTAAATGTTTATTATTAAGAGACTTGCTAAATCATATAAATAATGAAAACTGTTATATAGATAATGAAAATAAAATAAATATAATTTTTTAATAAAAAAATAAATGAGCTAATTATTAACTATAAATGTAGAAAATATACAGTTATGATCATTTATGCATGATTTTTTCAGGGAACAAATATTGATTTTATTATAAAAATTTTACATACAAATGCAATTATTATGTGTGACATACAAATCTGAAATGGGTGTTTTGGTTTGGTGTTTATGGGAGATTTTAGACAAATAAGTTGACAAACAATAAAAGGAAATACTAAATGACTATAATTAGTCAACAGTGTTTAACAATTTGAAAGACCAGTAAGTGCAAAGTGCTAAAATGTAATTATTTTTTATAATTTATATTGTATGCAGTTCTTATGTTTGATCAGTGCTTCCCACACATAGACTTTACTTGTCAACAATCGAGCAGAATGTTTCACGCACTCTTCAGACCCACAGAGACGTGCATTTTTGGAACTTAAAAAAATTGTCCGGCTCAGGTTTCTAAATCTCCAAAAATGTCTGGGATTCAACTTTTGCATTCGCTTTTTAAGGTTTGTATGTATTTTAGCTGACTGCACACGCACAGCCATGATACCGAGAGAAAAAGTATATAATAGATTCATTAATCTAAACAATTCAGAAAAACTTTACTATAAACTCGGAGACGACGAAATGGCATCTAAACTGGCATAAAATATATGTACACCATTAGTAATTTTGTAATTAACGCATTTGCCTTATTTAAAAAAAAATACTCATTTTAATCTTGCAATTATGATGTTTAGGGATAATGTTTGTTTTTATGAACTTTTTCTGTCATTTATTTCTCATTTGCTGATTATTTATTAATTTGATGATGTAAATATATTACATAGGCTACTTTATATACAGATCTAAAATACTTTGGCATTCAAATTTGCTTTGAACTTGAAAGAGAGAGAAGCAGATTTTACCTGTCAGTGGGTGCACATGGCTCCTGAATAGCATTTATTTTTTATTTCAGTCTTTTTTAACAGTATTTTTATTAAATGATGTTGTTTGTCACATATTTAACTATTTATGTGTTGTGGGTAAATGGTGTGTCAATCTGGCGACCACCGCAAGTATATTTCAAACCTGAAGGAAGCACTGTTGATGCATAAAAAGTGTGAGTTAATCTTTTGAGATATAATTTCTGAAGCTATAGCTATAAATAAGTAAATAAATAAATAAATTTCAGTTTTACATTGTAAAAGGAAATACTGTTTTAACATCTGATGCATAAACAGAATGACAGAGTGTGATTGAATTATTTTAGTCACCAGCACAAAATGGCTTGGTTCTCTCATCACCACAGTCACAAATAAGAGCATCCTGTTCTTTGGTTTCAGTGTGCTTTCTTTTTTTTCCAATTAGGAATCTAAAGGCCATCTGATGTTGTTAGCTGTAAAATCCCACTCAGTGAAGTAAAGCAGTGATGGGTTCTTAATTGCGAAGCTCGTCGGTTCAGACATGCAGCTTCTCAGCGTAAATGCACTATTAATGGCACTGTGAGGCCTGTCTGTTTTACAATTTGCCCAGTCAATTTGATGCAACAGGATTCAATAACAATCAGTCTGACGTCAACTCTTTGCCATTCATTTGGAGCACTGGTTAAAAGGCTTTGGCCAGCTCTGAATTATTTAACAGTGGATTTAAGCGAGTAAGAAATCACAGGAGGAAGCAACAAAGTGCTCCAGAAAACAACAACATCTTGCAAATTCTGACAAGTATTTCTTGTATTTGTGTCATTGTTAGTTTATATTTGTTTGAAGATTAACTGAAACAACAGCAGACCAAGCACTCTCAAAATTAATGGGGGCTTTAGGAATAAATTATATCAAAAGGACTAAAAGTAGCAAAGAAAAAAATCTAGGATAGGAGGGCACAATAAAACTACTACTAATAAAACAATTGTTAAAAAAATGTAATGAAAAACTATGAAAAGTGTCAGATTTGTTTAAAATTTGGTCAAGAACTGCTGACCATTACAACTAGGCATGTGCGATTTGGGGAAAATATCTGTTTACGATTTTTTTTTTTTTTTTAACAGATATTGCGATTTCAATTTGACTTGCGATTTAATTTTGTAGCCAAGCGTCAGCTTAATATTCTGTATCGTAGCTTCTTACTGCTAAAAAGCAGTGAGTGTTAGTTAAAAAAAGGAACTGAAAATTACATAACTTCAACTATTATTAAAATTTGTTTAGAAACATTCAGAAATTCTATAGAGCAAACAGAATTGAGTTATGGCGTTAGTTATCTCCTGGGGCCTCATGTATCAACGCTGCGTACGCACAAAAACTTTGCGTACGCCAGGTTTCACGCTCAGAATCGCTCACGTTTGGATTTACTAACAATGAACTGAACGTGGGAATGTGCGCAGGTTCACGGCAGCTTTTTGGCAGGCGTACGCACATTTTTTGTGCGTGTCTGTTTTATTTCCATTGGCGACTCCTAGAGGCAGTTGTGTTAAATTCCTCTTTACAAAGTGTCTGATCCTTGCAATGGCAGCTGTATGAGACGGGTTCATCTAGTAGGTATGTAAGATTTCCATACCATACAGTTGACCAGCTAAACATTAAAGCACAATTTGCAGCGGTCGCCTGTTTTCCCAATGTAATCTGAGCGATCTACTGCACGCACATTGATATAAAAACACTATCTGAAGATGAATTTGCATGCGTGAATCAGAAACATTTCCATTCAATAAATGTGCAAATAAAATATGATGCACAAACTTATTGATGATTCCTACTTGTCTTTCTCGTGATAAATAGTGGGCAAAATCTGATATGTAGCGGGGGGAGAAAAAGAAGAAAGAATTCATCAGACGCTGGATTCGAGCCGAGTTTATGCTTGAACGTGTCAGTACATGATCACATGCGTCTTACGAGGTGCGCCACTGAGTCTGCTAAGGGTACTGCAACAGTTTACAGATATAAACCACACTATTTCTTTTTTAAATGCACTCAGTGCGATGTTCAGACTCAACTGTGTTAACCGCATCAGCTAAACTCTCCCACTCTATTTTTTTTTCTTTTGTTGTTAATTCCGGAGAACAAACTTGCAAATACCACCGCTTTTCTCCGGTCTACCTCAGAAAGCAGCACCTCCAATTCACATTCTGTTCAAATTTTGCCATTGCTTTTTCGTTGGGTTTTGACATTAGCATAGTCATTAGCATATTCATACGGGGGAGGAGGCAGGGAGGGGTTTTGTGCTCGTGCATGTTGCGCTCAGTTTCACGTTCATTCAGATGTACAAAAGAATATGCGTGAGATTCGGCGTACGCAGTGTTTCATACATCTGAATTTTTTTATGCGTACGCACATTTACAGCTTTGTGCGTACGCAATGTTTAAGTAAGATTTCCACGCAAGTCTTCGTACATGAGGCCCCTGGTGTTGTGGCAATAATTCTGCGACAGCTCTTACAAATGACCTGTTTTTGTTCAATATCTATGACTTTGAAAATAAATATTCCCATATTACCGACATGCTGTGTTTCTTTGACATGAATTTGTCTATTAATGCTTTTGAAGTGGCAGACTCCATCATCCCACTTGTCCGCATGCTCCTGTTTGTTTTATTTTAGGCTTTCCGCATAGTTCGGTTGCGCAATTCTGATTAGACAGAACGAAAGTGTGCTTACTCAATTGGCTAGTAAGACTATCACACACAGACGACAGTCACACATTTGCTCTGGGTGGGGGAAATTAAGTAATACATATATATATTCCATATTACTGCCTCTTATAATTAGCTTATCGAAAAGTTTCAAACCACGATTGAGATTCGATTTTGATAAATCGTAAAGCCCTAATTACAACCAATCCCATGTTTCTGTTGGGTTCATGAATACAGTGGCCAATCAGAGGCATTTAGATTAGTTGCTGTTGAACAGAACTGTTAGTTTACTTACGTATGAATTTATATGTAATGATACAAACAAATATACTTGTCATATGATTTTTATACTTCATATACAGGCTGTTTTAAACTATGCAACTATTTTAAAGCTAATTTATATATCTAATAATTTATAGGAAAGAGTTCATAGGATCCTGACTTAGGTAACTGGATAAACTGACATACAGTTAGAGGAAAAATTATTGTCGGTTCAGTAGAATGGTGTTTCTTTTTTAAAGGTTTTTCAACGGCTGCTTAACAGAGATAATATTTTTCCAATACATTTTTAAACAGTAGCTTTAATAACTCATTTTTTTGTCTTCACCATGATGACAGTACATATAATATTAACAGTTATTTTGCAAGATTCTAATATTCAGCTTAATGTGTAATTTACAGACTTAACTAGGTCATTTGGTAAACTAGTCAAATCATTGGATAATGATTTTGTTTTGTAGCCAAATTTTTTTAAGGGGGCTAATAAATTGACTAAAAGCCAGATTTAAATTAAGCCTCACTAAAAGAAATAAGACTTCCTCTAAAAGAAATAAATAGAGTCACTTGGTAAATATTTGAAAAAGAATAAATAATTCACAGGAGCCCTAATCATTTTGTCTTCAACTAGAATACCTTTAACAAGATTATTAGTATCCAAATGCATTGGTGAGGGAATATATTTGCAGGTTTAAATTTGCAAAAGTTGATTTCTGACCCTAATATTGACCTTAAGCCAGACTAAAAGCCAGACTTAAATTAAGCCAGACTTTAAAAAAAAAAAGAAAAAAAAAGATATTCTTCAGAAGAAAAATAAGAACTGTGGAGAAAACTTCTCTGTGAAGACACTTGGTAAATATTTGAAAGGGAATAAATAATTCACAGGAGGCCTAATCATTTTGTCTTCAACTGAAAGTACATTTAACAACATTATTAGTAGTAAACAAATGCATTCATGAGAGAATATGTTTACAGGAATGAATTTGCCTCTTAATAGAAAAGTAGATTTTTGACCCTGGGAAGTAAAAAAAAATGAAAATAGTCTAAAAGACAGAGGATATAAACTCTGCACGGGGGACAAATTCTTAAACAAAACCTGAAAATGTTTTCTCTAAAAACCATTAAAAACAATAAAGACATTTTTTTTTTCTCTAAATTCTATCAGCTGAAACATTGAGTTCATTCTCTGTACCTGGAAAATCACAGTGATGTATCCGTCTTTTCTCGAGGTCTGGATTTGTCCTGCGGTTGTATCGGACAGGCATGGACCCAGTGGTTGTGGGGGGTCGTGCGGAAGCGGGTGTGGGGTGACTGGGTGCGTGGCCAGCCATTTTAGAGGCGATAGTGGCAGCGTAAGATGGTGGCGGTGTCAGATTGTGAAGCAGTTCCTTCTGTCTGTCAGGACTGCCCGGTTCTGAAGTGGGAGGTGAAGGGGGCAGATATGTCATTTTGAGCTGCGAGTGAGCCTGATCCTGAGGATGAACAAAGTGACCGTGGCTGAGAGGGTACCCATGGGCCGCCATGCCACAGTATGATTTGGCAGCAGTCTGTTGGGCAGCTAAGTGCAGGTTGTGGAAAGTAGGCATCTGTGAGTGAGCATGAGGGTCAGTTGGATCAGGGACGTCCAGCTCTGAGTTGAGGAGCTGGAAGAGCGGCCCATCCTGCGGGATGTCAAAGCCTTGCATCTCCTGCTTAACAAAAACCCCGGCGCTATCATCCACAACGTCCATTCCGGAGCCTGAAGTGGAATTGGAGTTAAAGATGCTGGTGAAATCTGGCAGTGCGGACGGAGCAGGGCCGCTTGAGCTCACGGGACACTCAGGATGAGAGAATGGTGCCGTTACAGGCTCAGTTTTGACCTGGTTGGAAACAGAATGCCGTGCCGCCCGGCACAGACCCGTTCTTAGATAAGCAATGTCAGGAAGGTAGACATTCATATTGATGCTGTAGGGGGATCCGTGGTCATCCCCAAAATACTGGTCCATTGTAGAGACACTTTCTCGTCTTGATTTCTTTAGGTCAGGGAGAACCACAGGTTGTGGAGACAGATATTTATCCATCTCTAGTTTAGCCTGGAGAAAGCAAAAGAGAGAGGCACTAAATGGTAAATGCAGTTGTAAAAGCCATTAAAGGCCAACAAGATAAACAGGTTTTAGAATAATAACTGCTGGAATATTGCATACACTGCCTGTGTCAGCAAAGTTGGCAGGATCTCCTGGGATTGCTTGTGTTGGCTGAGCACAAACGCAGTACACATAAAATTTGAGAAAAGCTTGCAAGAATGCAAATATTCACTTACGGTTACAACAATGAGCAGCCTGCCTGCTTGCTCAGCTAAGCTCACTTGGCTTTGAGTAAAAAGTATATAATATATACTAGCGAATACAGTAAACCAGCTTACATTATAAATATATTTTGCATAATGACAAAAGCCAGTTCATTTTTGCATTTATTTCCCTGTAACTTATGTGATAAGGGATTCTTTTAATAGAAATATCCCTCATTTGAGATGACAAACACTTCAGAGCATCAACAGATGACATTCTTTGGACTAGTTGAAATCTTAAAAAGTAACAATTCTTCAAACTACAGTTGAAGTCAGAATTTTGACCAAAGAATATTGATGAACTCTGGGAGGCATGCAAGACTGCTTTCTTTGCCATTCCTGACGACTTCATCAATAAATTGTATGAATCCTTGCCTAACCGCATGAATGCAGTTCTTCAAGCTCATGGAAGTCATACACGATATTAAATGTGGATCTCACAGCACCACTACTTAATTTGCTGACATATTTTTGTATTTGCAGCAAATTTGTTTAATTTCAGTATAGGCGACAGAACTTTTGTCTTGCCAAAATTTGACCTTTCTGTTTTGATTAAATGATAAATCTTGTTTCAGTGAAACTAATTTATTTCAGTGCATTAAACATCATTTGGGAGGGTTTTAGCTTTTCATATGAGCTCTTCCTAACACCAATTGATTAATTTAAAGTCAGGTTAATAGCAGGTGTTTCTACAAAATAGATAAGCGACAAAACTTTTGTCAGGGACTGTATATATATATATATATATATATATATATATATATATATATATATATATATATATATATATATATATATATATATATATATATATATACCTTATTCTAGCCAAAATAAAACAGATAAGACTTTCTACAGAAGAAAAAGTATTATCAGATATACTATGAAAATTTCCTTGCTCTGTTAAACGTCATTTGGGAAATATTTATAAAAGAAAAAAATATTCAAAGGTTGGCTAATAATCCTGATTTTAATATTATGTGTGCTGGTAATGACTGCTATGTCAATGGGAGATAATGAAACCCACACTGGACTTGCTAACACAAGCAAATAGTCAGTTAACCTTGAACATATAATAACAATATGAGACTTCAATATCTTTGATAACAGGATTACCGGTATGTCAAATGAAGAGGAAAGACTGTTGAAACAGGACCAAATATCTACCTATGAACTGATTTATCGGTCAGGCTGGGGAATATTGCTTTCTCCTCAATAGGTGACACTTTGGACAAGTTAAAATCTTGAATGACAATTCTTTAGCTATGGTATGTGTGAAGATGATTGCTATGGTCAGGGGAGTAGTGGGATAAAAACAGAACTTGCAAAATTAGCTTGTAGTCAATTAACCTTGAATGTATAAATATGATTATTAATTATACAAAAAGGACATTTTAAATTTATATGATTATATCGGATCAGGTAAACACTATCTAGTGATACACAATTTTGTCATCCAAGCTACTAAATTGGCTGATATTTGGCCATTTTAATGCATCGGATGTCAATCTTTGATTGATGATTAACAGACAGGTTTCAATTTTTTGACAGACTATAAATCATATTGTATGTGTGTAGCTTTGTGGGTGTTAAAGATATGTTCATCTCCTTTCCTGCAATTAAATCATATTACTTATTATTAGATAAGATTAATTCAAACACTGACAAAATTAGGAAAGAGTAAGAAAAGGAGCTTAATACAGAGAGATCAGATGAGTCATGGGAAGATTATCCTTCCAAAATACATGATTGTTCTATCAACACAAGACACAGACTGATTCAATTTAAAGTTATCCACAGACTTTATTATTCAAAAGTGAAATGATATATGATTTTCTTAAATGTATCCTTATTGTGCATTAAATGTGAACACTTTGAAGGTACATTGACTCACTTATTCTAGTGATGCCATAAAATCAGTTTTGGCAGTACGTTTTTAATTTTATATCTGAAGTATACAGGATTGATCTGTTACCAGAGCCAAAATTGAGTAGTTTTGGAGACAGCTCGAAAATAGGAGATAAATATACAGGCAGTATCTTTGTGTATGATATAAGCAAAGAAAACTATTTACAATATTGGAAGTCAGTTTAAGTGCCTGTCTTTGAAACCTGGATTAGGAGCTTAAGTTATGTGTTGCCCATGGAAGAGATGCGATATGGGATGGCAAACAAACAAAACATATTTTTTAAAATCTGGAACCTAATTATGTTTTATATCACTGTTACTGACTTGTAACTCATAGGTGGAATTGGTCTGGCAAAATTATTCTTTTTTTTTTTTTATGTTGAATTCAATTTTTTTCTCTTATGCTTTGTGGATAATGCTGTATGTTGTGTCCGACTGTGTATTGTGAAAAGGCTTTTGTACCCTTTTTCCCCTTCAGTTTATGTTATGGTTTATTTTCTTATGCTAAAAACAATAAACATTTATATATTTAAAAAATGTTAACTTTGAACTTTATATTTGCAAGAAGATACGAAAGCTAAATCAGGACATGTTTTAACTCCTGGTTTTTGACCGTGTAAACACAGAGAGCGTGAAGTGTCTGTATGGAGCAGTCAGAGGTAAAGCATTTATCAAGTCTTCTTCAATATGCCTCTGCTACATTCCGCCTCAGACTGTAAAACAGCGCTCATACCACAAGCTGAAAACAGACTTTGCTGACAGGTGGAAAGCATGCTGGAGAGATTGCTCAGCCTTTCCATATAAATGCCACCCAATTATCATAAAACCGTAATCAGCAGAAAAGAATAAATCAAGACTCATTCATACTCTCTACTCAGGGTAACGTCGACTGGAGGAATGAACATGAGGCAAAATAAAAACACTCACTGACACACATACAGTACATCTACATACACACATTCTGAATGCCAGAGCTCTTTAAGTGCTCTTTACGCGGCTGCTACGCATAGCTATTTCTGGATTTAGATCTTCCAGCTGTTCGCCCGACATGTATCTCTTTCACAAGTTTTCAGATTGAGGCTCGGCGTTGCTGGGAAGTTTCAGTTCGGAGCGCGAGAGCAGCGCGCGTGGGTGCGGAGGGGGAGTCAGTTGTTGACGGTCCGGTAGCCAAGAAACCAACTGCAAGCAACTGACAGGAGTCTGTGCGCTACCCGACCCAGCCCAGACTCCCCTGCCCTAAAGCCACGGGGAAATCCCAAAACATCACAGAATTCTTGATTCTTAACACGGGATTCTTAAGCTGAGGACACTTTCGAGTTGAGATATTGAACAATGATGAGTTTTCAAAGTAGCTATTTGTGAGGTTGGCTAACGAGCGACATGATTGTTGTGGTAAAGATTTTTTTTAAAGAATTTGGAGAACATTGTACTGAAATTCCCAACACACGTCAGAAACGCATAATAATACCAAAAACGTACAATTTCATATAGGCCTAACATTTCTGTAGCCTACATATAATAAAACAACGCGGATCAGGATTTAACAGTCTTAAATTAATAATTCACCGTAAAACTTTCTATGTTGTAAATTGTCAAATAAATAAATACATGAACACTCATCTCACTGTAAGCAAAATGTGACATATAATAGTAATAATAATATTGCTTTATGCGTTAACAATGTACAAAGAGACAAAATGCAGACTTTAATGCTCAATTGTAGGCTAAATATATATATTTTTTTATCTGCATAATGGACAAGATGCCTGTTTTAAAACCACATAAGCTAATTAATAATGCAAAAGTTTGGTTTTATTTTTAGGGCATTCAAAGATAGTAGGCTAATCTGTTTTTAAATCTAGAAAATTATCTAAAATGATTCTTCGCAACAGAATAGTTCCTCAAATGAAAGAATCGCACATTGCGAGACCATTTCATGGGGCATGATGCTGATGGGACTGCAGGCGTGCAGCATGTGCCGCATCATCTACATCGGCCCTCCTTTCACTCGTTGATAGCTTTATTTCATAGGCATTCAATAATATCCACTGTCTTGAGCACAATGAAAAGGCAAAACTCCAAATTACCTGAGAATAGTCGTTGGATAAGCCCCTTTCCGAGTCAGGATTCTTGTGTTCAAAGCAAAACAGAGAGGAGTCCTCCTGAAAGCCGTCGGACAGTGAGGGTTTAAGAAGCGAGAGAAAGTCATCTTGTCCCGGTGCGAGCGCAGCGCTCATGGTAAGAAGCGTAGCGGCCATAAACCCGTGGATGTGACCAAAAGGGCGTCCGCAAGATGTGTTTTGATAGACGTTGAGAAAGGAGTGGTGAGTGTATGGTGCATGGAATGACACCCGTGCGTGGATGTGCGCGCGCTTTCGGTATAATGTCCCGTTTTGCCTCGCTTCGTTCCTGGAGCTCCAGGATTTATAAAGATTCAGCGAAAGGGCGGAGTCGGCGACTGAGAAAGTGAGGCGGCTACACCTTTACTACTGCTGTTACTGTAACAGAGAAACAAGCCCGTCAAAACAGAGAGCCCGAGTTAAATACGTCCAGCCCAGTAAGTTACCTCCCTTACCATCTGGAAAATGACGGCAGTGCAGACAAGGCTGCTTAACAAAAACAGACTGAACTGCATAAAAACGAGTGCGCATCATTTTTATTGACCAACTCAAAGCTCGTTTGGTGTTGCTCATTTTGTAAACATTGTATTTATTAGATCGGTTAGTAAGTTTCATTAACTGGCAATGTTAATCAACAACTAACACAAGCTAATTGTGAAGACTCAATAGTAAGTAGTAAAACCAGTTCTTATTCACAAACGCCCGATTCCTGAACAATATGACTCTTGTCAGTCGATCGGATCTTTTTTAAGTCATTATGAAATCGAAATTAATAGCACATTCTAAAAAAATCTATAGGCTGTTGAAAGTTATGACAAAAATAAACACACCCAATGCTAGTTAAAAACATAAATAAATAACGTTTAACCCAGTATAGCGTTTGTTTATATATGGTCCAATATGTCCAATGTTTTTTAGAGTGCAGTTTGTTAGCTCACAAAGATTTTCTTATGGTGAAAAATGTATCCTGGTAATTTTTTTTGTCTTGAAGTGTCCCAAATAACATTATACTATGCACTTATGTTCTAGATTGGCTATTCAGCTGTCTCCATGAATTTTGTTGGAATTTTTTGTCTTTCATCAGGAGTGTCTGAAATCCCTGCCTACTCCACTACACAATTAAATCTGTGACAACGGAGAGCATGAAGTGTCTAATGTTCCACACTTTGGGTTTTCCCTTTGGTTTACAGTATTTATTCCAGGCATTAACATTTTTTGAATATTCTCAATGTGAACAATCTATCACCAATACTTGTAATTAAAAACACAGAATAGGAAATATGTATTCAAATTGGTACTTTTTTTTACGTCAGCTCTGAAATGGCATTCCTTTTATGAAGAAGTCAGTTTAAAGGCTTAAAAATATCATTAAAGCATCAAATAAAACCACATCCTCTAATCAATATTTAGCAGAATTTACACATGCTGTAGCATTCAGAAACCCGTGTTATTAGAGACACCAGAGGCCAATAAGTGAACTGCATCCAGCAAAGTTACTAGTGTTTGTGTGCAACTTAATGTCTCGGTATATTTTCTCAGCAATGTGGATTTCATTCAGACCATTTTATTTCAATTAAAGCCAACCAACACCACCCTAAAAGACGTAGGTCACTAATCAAACATTCTGCTTCGTTCTATGACATTCAGCCTTTAATCGTTTGAATCATGAAAACAAGCTCCAATATAAGTCTATTAACATATATTGGAGCTGGATTTCACTCTTTCATTTGACTTATTGTTTGTTGGCTGAAAGTACAATGATCCAACAAAACCCAATTTTTTAGCTCTTTCCAAATGTCTCTGAATGCAGGCTTGGATTTGCAAGCTGAGACTGCAAATCTCTGACTTGCAATGTCAGACACAATGCACTTAATGGAGCTAGTGATGTCACTGTGAGGGGTAGGGTCAGGGGTGGGGTATTAAAAAGCTTTTTATGCAGCTCACCTTGCAACTGCATCAAGTCTGCATCCAGACTTGGATCCGTCCCTTTTTTCCATGTTCAAATATGTTTTTATATGACGTTCATACAGTATCACATTTTTTTTTTTTTGGAAACAAAATAGTCCTAGGTTTCGTGGAGGTTAAAGGAAGGTCTCTTTTTTACTTTTCATTTTCAGCCATGTACTTACTTGGTAAAAAAAAATAAAATATATATATATATATATATATATATATATATATATATATATATATACTACATAATTTGTAAATATGGGCCTTTCAAATGCAAAGTGTAGTCAGGGTCTGATTCTGAGCCAGAATTGCAACTCAAAAACTGAATCACTAACTGGATTTATGAATCACTACATGACACAAATATTAGTTAGAGTTACAATCAGTTACAATTAATTAGAGTTGCAATCAGAATTATTAACCCCCCTGATTTATTAGCCAATCATTTAAATTTAATTTCATTTAAAGGCTTAACTAGTTTCAGTAGGTTAACTAGGTAGGTTAGGTTAATTAGGGAAGTTATTGTATAACGACGTTTTGTTTTGTAGACTATCGGAAAAAAAGAAAAATAGCTTAAAGGGGCTAATAATTTTGACCTTAAAATGTTTTTTTTTTTGTCTAAAAATTAAAAACTGCTTTTATTCTAGCCGAAATAAAGCAAATAAGACTTTCTCCACAAGAAAAAAATATCAACAGACATACTGTGAAAATTGTTCTGTTAAACATCATTTGCGAAACATTTAAAAAGGAAAAAAAAATAAAGAGGGTTTAATAATTCTGATTGCAACTGTAAATAAGTTTATATGCGTGTTATTGTAGGACCATTAAATAACTGATTTATTAAATTAATTAATTTAATTAATTACTTAAAGGTTTTGGAATTGTTTTGGAATAAATACAAATGAATGCAATTTAGATGAGGTTTATCTGAAAAAAATAATGTGACATATTTTCCTTGAAGCAAGCTGAAAGTTTTTTTTTTTATCTTTTCAGAGGCAGAAATGTATGAACTGTACATATTGTAAAAAAATAAATAAATAAATAAAATTTACTAAGAAACTAACTATGCTCCCACAATTTACCACATGTATATCCCCTCTTAAAAGTTTCAACATATTTTGCATGGATTGTATTTTTTAACTTAATTTTTTTTTAAATGAAGTGATTTTACTTAGCAACTAATTCTTAAACAACTTTCCCAATATGATTCTCATCCCTGTAACACCCGCTCCTGAGAATGTTATGAGTGTATGGCACCACATCTGCTCTCAACGCTCTCACGTCTGCTGGTTTACAATGCTGAGAAACAAAACTTATTTACAAACTAGATTTTCATTTAGATGATAAATGCTTGCCAATTCAAATGTTAAAAATAAAAAGACATTTTAAAAGTCAAATATCCACTTCAAGCAAACGAGATCAATCAATTGGATCAATACTATGCAGCTCAATGCTAGCGTTCTTGCTGGACATTTGAGCCAGTAGTGTGTAACATTAAGATGACACAAATAAGCGTGCAATGCGGCTGCGATGATTAAGGTATGCACAAGCTCCTCTATTTTTACCAACAGCGTGTCTCACGTCTTACAAATCAAAACGGAAGGATACAGATCTCATTACCATCAAATGATGCGTTCAGATATTTAGACTGTACATTCAGAAACTGCATATTAATTTGGCCAGAAAAGTTTAATAATAATTAAAAAAAAAAAATAATTAAAAAATAACAGCATGTTCACACGCTTATCTGAACTAGATAAAATGATTTATTACCATTAAAAGGAAATTCATAGTTTTTCACATTCTTCATGGCCACACATCAAACCTGTGTAACTCGTTATGTAATGGATCTTCAACAGACTTTCATTTGTGATTGCATGACATGGAGCATCCTAAACAAGTTCAACAAGTCTCTACTTGGTTTTCCGTTTGACTTTTCTATACCATTCTGGAACTTCTTTTTTAGTCTGTTAAAAGAAGAAGAAGAAAAAAAGGGTTAAATACAACTGACCTGTTTTTTGGCCCATGATGCTTATTGTGAATAATGGTATTAAGTTCTAACTACAAAAATTTTTAAACGTACTACCTAAAAACAGTTAGTAAAGTGACAAAAAAACACTTTTTTTTCTAACAGTTCATCCATCAAATATTAAAAGTCAGCTTAATAGAATTAATAAATGACTTCCATCAGACCATGAATAACCTAAAAAATTTTCCACAGCAATTTTATGAAAATATATTAAATATCACTGTGCTGCAGGGAATACAAACCTAATGCCATGTTAAAATAGCAAGTGTAACATTATTATTATTATGATTATTATTATTATGACAGATACTATGAAAAAAACAATGTCAAAGATAATTCTTACTCAGTTTTCACTATGTATGTGGAATATTTGTAGCGCAATCTTATTTTTATTACACTGTAAAACCCAGTAAGTTATGGTAAACCATTTAATGAAACCGATTGCAACAAACCAATTAAGTTCAAAAACCCATTCTAATAATTCATTTGAGTAAACAAAGCAACTTGAGCACAATAAATCCAACAAATGAAGAGAACTCAAACCAACTGAGTACTGTAAAATCCAATAAGTTAAGGCAACTTTAAGCGTTGGGGGAAACAGACCGCTCCAAACCATTTAGGTTAAAAAACGAATCTATATTAGTACTGTGGACTTACTTCATTTAAGTTGAAGTAATGAGGTATTTAATTAACTGACTACCTTCAACAAGAGTTCAAAACTCTTTTCAAATGAGTAGAATTCTCGCTATCAATAAACCATGAACTATTACTTTTCCTTAATAAACTCTTAATTTTCTGCTTTTAATAGTTATTAAAGATAATATGAAGGCTTAATTATTAAGTATGATTAGGAATATGTACTTTCTAATGTTCTAATAAACAGCCAATATCTTAAAATAATACACTGTAAAAATCTTGCTGCCTTACATGTTTGAATCAACTTTACTTTTCTAGTCTTTTCAACGTACATCAATTAAACTAGACTAAAAATATTAAGTTCAAATTTGTATAACTTAAATTAAACTATTCAAAACCTGATTTGCGTATTAAAATAAGTTAAAGCAACATAAAATTATTTGCTGTCTTGACACTGTCATTACATTTTTTTTACAGTTTAGTCAAGCAATAAGTGACTAGTTAATAGTGAGAATTGGTCCTTGAATTAAAGTGATATCCAGATTTTTTTTAAATATGGTATACTGTCCTCTTCATTGTTAAATGTTCAAGTAAAACTTACAAAAACCGTGGGTTTGGGGCCATAATTGTATTGCTCTTCATCTGTGCTTTTGAATGTTTTGGGTCTGTGAACTGCGGTCCCATCAGCCTCGAGTTCAGGAAGAGTAGCAGATGGAGGACCACGCATGCTAATCAGGACCTGCTTCATCACAGAAAGCTCCTAAAAAAGGATCAGAACAAACCATTGTCAGCCTGACAGTTAAAGAGTTCAATCCCAGAATAATGTGAGTTTGCCTTTCTTTTTCAGTATAGCTTCTGTGGTGATGTGATTACAGTGTTGTTGTGCCAGCAGTGACGTGCCCTTAGGTAGAGCAATTAAGATTGAAACTGCAAAAACAAACATCCCTCGTGTCCTCATGAAAGACGCCAACATTCCACAACATCCATACATCCTCATGTTATTCAAAACATAACATCCTTACATCCTCATGTTATTCAAAACACTTTATTATTATTATTATTAATGATAATAAAATTATTATTATTATTGTTATTATTATTAGACCCAAAAAAAGGAATCAATTTCAGATGTTTTTAATATACATATATCTATATCAGGGGTGGGCAAACTCGGTCCTGGAGGGCCGGTGTCCTGCAGTTTAGCTCCAACTCTAATCAAACACACCTGCTTATGGATTTCTAGTGATCTTGAAGACACTGATTAGCATGTTCAGGTGTGTTTCATTAGAGTTGGAGCTAAACTATGCAGGACACCGGCCCTCCAGGACCGAGTTTGCTCACCCCTGATCTATATACTTGTATTGTTGAATTGAGTTTTAATGTATCATTTAAAGCAATGGAAAGATAAACCTTTTCTTGGCATCTCTTAAAACAATATCATTTAAACATACTCACTCACTAAAAATAAACAAAACTGTAATAACTTCAGAGACTTTTTTTTTTAAATCACAAATTTTTCTTTTTTTTAATTTTTATTTATTTGTCATATTTTATTGGTTTACTTTTATGCTTATTATTATTTTTGAGGATATATTTATATAGTACTATTTATATAATACTTTTATATTGGTTTTTTATTCCTGTAGCTTGATAGTCATGATTAGTGTCACTGGAATAACTCTTTTTGAAAAACTTTAGTGTGAATAAATAATAGATTTGAGCCTTTGGATGAAAAAAAAAATATATATAATTAAAAAAAAAACTATTAATTAGTTTGTGTATTATTGGTCATTTTATTTTTTGTCATTTCATTTTCATTTTATTTAAAGTGCATATTGTTTGCTACTTCGGTCCAGATTTTTAAAAAATATACAAACAAACACATAAATAAACAATTAAATAAATGCAAAATTATGTGGAATGATTTTGAGAGTATTTGAGCTGAAAAATGTAAACAACAAAAATAAAATTATGGTTTACAATTATCACAAACCTAAATCCAATTACAACCACTTTTATGGTAAACAAAGCAGGTCTCTCATAAAACAGTTACTGTATTGTACCCAAACTGTACTGTACACAAATCATCTAAGCATCTGCATATGGTTCAGTTAATAACTGAAATAAACATTTATAAAACTGAATAAATATATACATACACATTTTAAAAAACTAAATAAATTAAGTGAATGACAGTGTCAATGATCTATGGAAATCTGCTGTGTTTTCTATGGATTTCTGCATATACAAATTCCATACGGGCTTACTAATTATTCACCAAGTTAATAAATTAATCTTCTTTCCATCTTGAAAGTGCTTGCGGATTCATGTAGACCCTTCATTCAAAAGTGCAATGGTGAAGGCATATCTTCATAACATCTCCATTACAAGGCCTGCCCTCAGTGCCCTGACAGCACCTCTACAAAGCATACAGCCCTGCTATAGTGTAAATACTTCTGAATCAATTGAAGGAAACGCCCTTAAACAACACAGTGTTCTTTCATTACTTTGAAGTCATCAGCGGAACCCAATTCTGAGAATGGATACAGAGCTGCTAAAAAAAAATGCTGCTGCACTGTATTTACGGTGGCAGAGGTTTATTGAAAACAGTAAAACTGCAATATGACCTACGAAACACAAGCTTTTTTCTTCATATTTATATAAAAACAAAATTCTCTAAAACTAATAAAAACGTAACTTAAATATCAGGGGCCCTATCATACACCCGGTTGCTATTTTCAGACCAGCGCAACCCCAATTTTTTACATTTTGCACCACGTTGTTTGAATAGAAAATCCATTAAATCCCCCCCAAAAATTAAACGTTTAAAATATTACAAAAATGATCATTTTCTACATAAATATAAAAACTACTGCATGCATGACTCATCTCGGGGGGCTTTTTTCAGTTTATTTATGAAAATTGGCAATTGTATAAAGTTAATATTATTAGCAATATTATTTATTATATGCAAATTTATATTTGTTTTAATAAAAACAAGTTTAGATTTGTCCACCTGTCGGATTTTGATGACGTATGCATCACCATGGGAATACGAACAAGACGTTTGTTTGGATAACTTTTTTTGAACACACTTCGTTATTATTATTCATTTATTTGTTTGCTGGACATTGAACTGAACATGAACTGAATTTAGAAATAGTTTTGAAACAAATCTTTGAGCTGAAACTAAATAGATATGTAGGCTAATGGATGTCTTCAGAGGAGAGCTTACAGCCCCGTTTCCTTATCCACGAAAGTAAAGGAGTAAAGTAAAGAGTAAAAGTAAAGTAGAGGTTGAATGGAAGAGGCTCATTCTTTATCTTCATGCTGCAGATGGTCTAACTGTTTTCTCACTAGTAAAGCATTCGGTTTTCCACTCACAAAGTCCACAATGTAAATAACAAATGTGCCATGGCATGACGCAACTAACTCTTAAAAGGAAAGGGAGATGAGACTGATTGGTTTAATGCACGCCATGCTCAAAACACACCCATAACCCATGAAGAGAATAAGCACAACCCTGTCATACCATGTGCCGGGGCGCAGACCGTATTTTTCAGTCCTTAAAAGGCACCTAGGTTACCCCTTTTTTCAGATTTTTCATTATACCTTTTACAAGATGCTGTTTTATGCTGATTTCCAGCAGGGGGTGGTTTTGTCGTACTGTGCCTTTAAGCCGAGTCTTTCCCGCCCACTATTTCTACATGCCTCCTCCCTCAGCTGCGTCAGACAACAGACAGACTTAAAGGAAGAAGGTCTCACGTAGCGTTTGTGAGATACTACAGTAAGAACTAACCTTTACTAATCAGTATTGTGAAGTTGCATTGATGAGTCACACACAATATCGTTACAAAGTTAACGTGCGCACGCGCACACACACACACACACACACACACACACACACACACACACACACACACACACACACACACACACACACACGCACTCACGCACGCACGCAGGCAGGCAGGCAGGCAGGCAGGCAGGCAGGCAGGCAGACAGGCAGGCAGGCAGGCAGACAGGCAGGCAGACAGACAGACAGAGCGGGCTTAGCTTAGTTAAGGCTAACCTCAAGTACTGTGTGGATATCTGTTATGCTAATGTACAAAATAAACCTGATTTAACTTCCACAAACAGGGATTGAAGCATCTTCTTTTATAATTGTTCTGACACGCGGCTGTGCTGATGAAGTAAAGCTGAAGTAAAACGCTGTAATTAATTACACACATACTCTGTTTTAAAACACTTTAAACATGTGAAACTTACTCTTAATCACATTTGATGATGATTGCTGATCCTAGCGAACAGAACAGAGCTTTTATTCCCGGTTGCTTTGCGTATGTCTGTCTGGTCTTGTGGACATATACACATGACTACCGGAACATGTTAATGTGCGCAGCTGTCAATCAATTCAGTGGGCGGGGGGATCGCACACCTACGTAATGGTGCAATCGATTTGAAAACAGCTCCAATTTGCCGACCCTTTTTTTGTAGTTAAATTGAAAAAAAAAAGGACTGGGTGTGTTCATATCACCCCAGTATGACGGTCTATACACTATACCAACACACAGATCTGTCCAAACAGCTTGAAAAGTAGATTTTTTACCATAGGTGCCCTTTAAAACAGCAAAAGTGGATTCGGACATGCCCTTAATGCTTTTGCGCCATGCAGTTTAGACTTTGCATCTAGATCGTTAAAATAGTTTTTTTTTTAAATATGTTTTTCTTTTATATTTTATTTTAAATTTTCTTTTATATATTTTTTTTTAAATCAAGAAAAAAAAGTTTTGAGTTTGGTAAAAAATATTAAACAATCAAAAAATAAATAAGCTAAATTATTAGCCCAATTGTGAAAGTTTTATTCGTATTAAAATATTTTCCAAGTGGTGTTTAACAGAGCAAAAACATTTTTAGAGTGTTCCCTATAATATTTGTTCTTCGGGGAAAAGTTTTACATTTTTTTAACCATTTTTAAAGAAAACATAATATTTTTTATTAATGACTACAGAACAAACCACTGTTGTCCAATGACTTGCTTAATTAATCTAACTTGCCTAGTTAACACAATTAACCTAGTTAAGCTTTTAAATTACACTTTGAACTAAATGATAGTATCTTGCAAAATAACAAAAAAAAAATTATGTTCTGTCATCATAGATGTAGATGGTGGAAGAATTTAGTTATTAGAATTCTTAAACAAAGCACAACTTGTTAAAAATCATTCGCTGTTAAACAGCACTAAAAATACATTTTAGAAAGCTAAGTAAAGCTTATATACACTACCGGTCAAAAGTTTGGGGTCAGCAGGATTTTTAAAAATGTTTTAAAATAAGCTTCTCCTGCTCACCAAAGCTGCATTTATTTGATCAAAAACACAGTACAAATGGCAAAATTGTGGAATGCTATTGCAATATAAAATAACCTTTCAAAAGTAGTTCATAATTAATTTAATCATGTATTCCAGTAATTTTAATGATAAATTTTCAGCTTCATTACTTCAGTCTTCGGAGTCACATGATCCTTCATAAATCACTCTATTAATTATAATTATTGTTGTTGTTGTTATTAATAATGGTAATTGTAATAACAGCAATAATGACTGGAGTAATAATTTATTTGAAACTACATACAATACGCAGTTTTTTTTTTGTTTTTTTTTTTACAATTTTATTAATGTATTTACTTTTTTTCACCTTTAATAAATGCTGCCTTGATGAACATACAAAAAAAAAAAAAACTCTGATCCCAAACTTTTGA